CAGAGATAAAGATAAAAAGAAAGGTTCACAATGGCTGGGCTTGGGCAAGGGTGAAACCAGGATCCTGGAACTCCATCCAGGTTTCCCACATGGGTGCCTTGACCTGAGGACTTTGGCCTTCTTCCACTATTTTCCCAGGCACTTTAACAGGGAACTGGATTAGAATTGGAGTAGTTAGGATTTGAACCCACACTCTAATATGTGATGCAAATGTTGCAGGCTGTGACTTAACTGGTTGCACTGCAACACCAGCCCCAGACTCCAATTAGTATTAATCAGAGAACTATAATATGGCTAGATTCTGACTCAAATAATCATTAAGTTAGAATTTCTTGAAATGATTAGAGGGTAGCCGTAATGGTCAAAAATTGGGACTAGGAGTCGTGAATGCTAGAACTTAAGGAAAACTGACACTTGGTTAAGAAAACAAACTAGGCTATTCATGGGGACCATAATTTTCTGTGAAGTTACTCCATTGTTACCAGTTCAGAATAGAGGGGGAAGGAGTTACACACCTTTAATATTTCTGTATGGTTCTCATGACATGTAGAATTCCAAAGTTTCTAGAGTATAGGGGAGAATACATTGTATGAAACTATGGGTTTTGGAAGCTTTAAATGGCTACTTAGTATGGCTACAAAGAATGGCTACATTCTAAAGATCACAGCCATTTCATAATTTAATGGGTTATCATGATATTCTGAAAGGCAGGAGTGCTGTTTTATTAAATTACCTTTTAACAAGGGAAGAAAACGAATCACACAGGTAAGGTGATGACATTTGCTAGCAAGAATGCTGGACTTGAATAGGAGTCTTCATTTTGATCTCTAACTTCATGCAATGGTCTAATCTTGAGTTTTGTTACTTAATCTCTTTGGATCTCGATTTTCTTTTCTCTAAAAGCTGGCTGTTCCTCAAATATTGTGATTCTTCCAGGAGCTAGGATAACACTCAATTCTTTCATTAAAATTGCATCAGTTGTCACTGGTATTTTTTTTCTATCACTGACCCACATGCTCGCCCTGCGACCTCAGGTGTACAAATTTGAATTAATTATAATCATACTATTGGCCTGTGTTGTTGTTTACACTGTAAACTAAATATCTATGACTCTTCGACCCACAGAGTAGACTCATCAAGATTGTCTGCTAGGGAAATATAACTTATCATCTTATAATATAAGTGACATATTTTTATTTATCATTATGTCTCTGGCACCTAGTATGTCTGGTGCATAGCTGTGGCTTAGTCAGTATATGTGGCATGGTTGGGCAGCCTGCACATGGAAACTTTTGCCTGAATAAACATTTACTGGTAGAGGAGAATCTACTCTGAAAGCCTGCTAAAACCTTCTCATTAGCTAAAGAGCTAGGTAATTAAAATAAACTTATGTTGTTGAAGTTGGTAATGACTCAATGGAGAATAAAGCAGTCATACTCACTAAGAAAAGCTAGGCGGCAGTGAAAGACTGAACAAAAATATTATTAAATGTGAGTTTAAACAAAAACCCAAACTGAACAGAATATAACATGATGAAAGCACAATGCTGAGAACATAGAACACTTAAGGATGCTGGAAAGAACCTGTAATACTTTTCAGATGATAACATGACATTGAGAAAAGTTTCAAGACTTCTCAAGGTCACACAGCTGGTTATCTGCACTTTCAAGATTCACATTTGTATCTGAAAAGGAATATAGTAGCCTTAATGCACAATGAAAAATTGTCCAAAAATAACATTATTAGATGTTTAGAAAGTATGAGAAAATATTTCATCTAAATGCCTCTATTTGTTTCCCAACCAAGAAGGAAGTTTGCTGCTATTTAAGATCACATGTAGGTACACTTACTAAACTCTTACTGTTTCTTGTTCCTTTGACTTGTACCTAAAGTTCAGAGAATATCTTTGCTATACCCATGATGTTTACAAGGGTTAAAATTTCTGTGTTAAAAATGAAATTAGGAGCCAGCACTGTGGCATAGTATGTAAAACTACCGCCTGCAGTTCTAGCATCCCATATGGGCACCAGTTTAAGTCCTGGCTGCTCCACTTCCTATCCAGCTCTCTGCTATGGCCTACAAAGGCAGTAGAAGATGGCCCAAGTCTTTGGGTCCTTGTACCTGTGTGGGAGACCTGAAGAAGCTCCTGGCTTCTGGCTTGAGATTGGTCCAGCTCCAGCCACGTGGCCACTTTGTGGAGTGAATCAGTGGATCGAATACTTCACTCTCTCTGCTTATGCTTCTCTGTAACTCTCTGCCTTTCAAGTAAATAAATAAATAAATAAATATTTTAAAAATGAAATTAAAAGCCAGATTCTATGGGTAGCAAAAACTTTTAAATCTATGCCTAGTTTTTTTTTTTTTTTTAGACTTTATTTTATTTATTTAAGAGTTACAGAGAGAGAGAGGGAGAGACAAAGAGAAAGGTCTCCCATTTGCTGGTTCACTTCCAAATGACTGCAGTGGCTGGGATTGGGCCGATCTGAAGCCATGAACTGGGAGCCTCCTCTGGGTTTCCCTTGTGGGTATAGAGGCCCAAACACTTGGGCAATCTTTCACTGCTTTCTTAGCCCATTAGCAGAGAGCTGGATTGGAAGAGGAGCAGCCTGGACTTGAACCAGCACCCATATTGGATGTCAGTGCTGCAGGTGGAGGCCAAGCCTATTATGCCACATCACTGGAACCACTTATTTTTTCTTAATATATAGTTTTCATGAATTTTTAGGACTGTAAATATGCATGGATTTCAAAAAATTCTGTGCACCAAAATATACTTATCTTTTAATTCATGTTCTGTGAAGTTTTTGAAGTAACTTGTACATTTACAATCCAGATAATTTATTCAATTAGTATTAAACTTCTTGCAAAAGTTATTTTTCACTATTGTCTGTTATTACTTCTACTTCAGTCTCTAGTGGGATGTGTTGGTCCCAGGGGATTTTCTTCTCTGTGGAGTAAGCAGGCGAAATGTATTTCACTCTCATAATATTTGATACTATTTTTATCCTGTTACAGAATTATCATTGAAGATGCAGTGGACTGGAAACCTCATGACAAAATTGTCCTTAGTTCCATCTTATGAGCCCCATGAAGCGGAGGTCCTCACTGTCAAAGAAGTCAAGGGTTACCATGTTGGGATCCATGAACGGCTCAAACACCGGCACATTGGTAAGGCTTTCGTTTATTGGTGGTGGGAAGTAAATGCACCAGGAAGAATGTATTCTTTAACCTGCCTAGGACTTTGGATCTGATCACCATACAGCAGGGAAGCATAATACTTTACTGTTGCCTTAGACTCATGTTAGAAAGGCTTTGTGCCTATTTCTTCATTAATTTTATCACGTAATTTTAAAATAATTTTTTAATGTGTTATCCCTCTTAGTATTTTTTGTTTGTTCTACTTAATACTTTGGTTGAATTCTGTAATCAACACACAGTTATTCTTAAGTGTTGAAATTTAACTGAAAAGTGATCGGTGCTAAATATAAGAGTGGAAATAAGAAAGGGAAGAGATGTACAATTTGGGACATGCTCAAGATGAATTGCCCCAAACGGTAGAGTTAGAAAACATACCAGGGGATTCCAATTTCAATCCCATCAAGGTGGCATGTACCAATGCCATCTCACTAGTCCCAGTGATCAATTTCTGTTCACAATTGATCATAATGATAGACTAAGAGTCAAAGGGATCACATAAACAAGACTAGTGTCTGCAAATACTAGCTGATAGAATAAAAAAGGGAGAGAACGATACAACAGGGGAAGGTGAGATACACAGCAGACTCATAGAATGGCGGGATGTCCTAAATAGCACTCTGGCCTCAGAATGAGCCCTTAAGGCATGTGGATCTGGCTGAAAAGCCCATGAGAGTATTTCAGGCATGTAAAGTCAAGACACTCTGGCAAAACAAAAACAAAAACAAAAACAAACAAAAAAAAACAACAACCAAAAAAAAAACCCAAAAACAAACCCCTACATGAAAGATTCCACGAGTGAGATCCCAGTGGAAAGAATGGGGTCATCAAAGAAGGAGGTACCTTTCTCTGAAGGGAGGAGAGAACTTCCACTTTGACTATGACCTTGTCTAACAAGATAAGAGTCGGTGAACTCAAAAGGCTTCCATAGCCTTGGCAACTTTGACAAGAGCCTAGGGTGATTACTAATGGCATAAACAAGAGTATCAGTTGGTTAAGTCAAACAACAGGAGTCACTGTGCACTTACTCCTCATGTAGGATCTCTGTCCTTAATGTGCTGTACATTGTGGTTTAATGCTATAACTAGTACTTAAACAGTATTTTTTTACTTTGTGTTTGTATGTGGTTGCCAAACTGTTGAAATCTTACTTAATATATGCTAAACTGATCTTCTGTAATAAAGAGAATTGAAAATGAATCTTGATGTGAATGGAAGGGGGTGGGGGGGGGAAAGGGGAAGGTTGAGGGTGGAGGGAAGTTATGGGGGGGGGGGAAGCCATTGTAATCCATAAGCTGTACTTTGGAAAGTTATATTCATTAAATAAAAGTTAAAAAAATAAACAAGGTAACCAACAAAAAAATAATTCTTTAATGTACGGGGATTTTTTGAAAAATAATATCAAGTCTAAGAGCAGAAGGCTTGAGAACCTCAAGGTCACTGGGCAGTTCTATGACTAAGTGAAAACAAAACTCACTGGCATCGAATTTCCAGTTCATTTCCTGGTACATGAATCAAACAATCCTTTAGAATATGGTAATCATTATATATACTGATTTCATTTTCTGTCATTAGGAATAGTGCTCCCTGATATGACATACATATTATGTATTCACTACTACTACTGAAAAAAAAAGGAAAGAGCAAATTCTAATATCTTTCAGAAAGAAAAATTCTAGTTTCTTTCAAAAAAGCTACAGACTATTTTATACAGTAGACACTATTACCATGTACTGCATATAAATATAAAAATCCTTATCTTTCTGGTTTAATCTAATAAATAAATCTAACACAGGAGATATAACAAATCAGAAATAAAACTTGGAAATGAAGAGATGATAGGATATCTTTTTTTGTCTCTTACATGTGAGAAGGAAATGAATATTTTCACCAGGACTGTCTCCAACTATTTCTAAATCATACTTCCAAGGATGATTTCTTCCTTAACAAGTGGCAGAGAGAGAGAATGTGGAGCAAACATTGCCAATTAAACTAAAAGTGAAATGCAAATACAGATGGTGAAACAATTAGGAAGACTCTTCAGTTCCTGGAAAAGTGGTCCAGGCAGTGGTGAGCGGAAGCTGGCTGGGCAGGGCTGCTGCTGCTGTTTGCTGCCGCTTGCTTTTTCCCAGTCACTCTCACGCATTACTACTTTCCTTCGGTCACTGCCTCCCTCAGCTGATCGGGCATTCCTCGTTCTCATGAGAAAGATCCACGGACAATACACAACCAACCACTGAATTTTCTCTCTGATACATTTAAGGCAATAGGTTGGGGACTCTCCAAAATGGACAACTGCACCTGTGTCTGTCCCAGCACCCACGGCTATTGAGAAGAAATGAATTTTTGCTCAAACACCTTCACTGTGATCCCAAAGAGAGACAAAAGAATAGGTTTTTCATTTCTCAGCTGACATTGTGGAGAGTGCTGAGGAAAAGCAGACCTTAATGTTGGTAGGACTTTGAGGGGGAATAAATGTTTTCATTGGCAGGTTCACTGGGTCCCTAGCTAGTGATTTCCGAAACAGGCTTTTAAAGATTGTTTCGCCCAACTCCTGTTGCCGTAGGAAGTGTTCATGTCATCGAGGATGGTCGACACATTAGTTTGGCTGCTGAAGTTGGACTACTGACTCGAAATATACAAATTCGGCCAGACACATCCTGTAGGGGGAGACTGCTGGTAGGGTCCTTCAGGAAGAGCGACAGAGAGGAGTTCTCAGGTAAATGAAAATGTAAGTTACTCGGTATTACCAGTTGGGACTTACTCATCTGGGAACTTCAGAATTCTGACGGTACGGATTTTCATTTATAAAAACAACTTCAAATGAAACAGTTCCTTTGTACTCTGAGAAGCTATGAATTTTTCAAGTCCTAATCTGTGCTTAATTATCAGTGTGATATTAAAATAATGCACTAGAAATCAGCACATATGCACACTTTTACCTCAAAGCAAACATCTTTAGCAGATGTAAAATTTCCTCTACTTTGAAATTGTAGATGACTTAATAGCCACTTGAACTTTATCTTTTTCCTGAATTTCTATCACTTTTTCCTAATAGCATGCTATATCTGATGGTAGGCATCGGGTTGAGGGCTATAAATTAATAATGGTACAAATATAAGTAAACATGATTTCCATGTTCTAGACTGCTTTAAGAATCAGTTCAAATTTTTTTTATCCAAAACTTAGCATTTTTTTGACTGCTACCAAAATCTATGATTAGGACTTTCTTTTTTAATTTATTAATTAAATTAATTTATTTGAAAGGTGGGGTGGGGGAAGATATCTTCCATTCTCTAGTTTATTCTCCAAATGCCCACAATAGCTGTGGCTGGGCCACACTGGAAGCCAGGACTCCAATGTGGGCCCAAGTCTCCCACATAGGTGGCAGGGACCCAAGATCTGAGCCATCATCTGCTGTTTCCCAGGGTGTGCATTAGTAGAAAGCTAGATTGGAAGTGGGGCCAAGAGTTCAACCTGGGGATTCTGATATGGATGTGGGCACTCCAAGTGGAATCTTATCTGCTGCATCAAACACCTATTAAGGACCTTGTTTATTGAACTTGTATTCCCTAACCATTATTCCAAAGTTGTTTCCTGACTAGTTTGGGAAAGGCTGTCACTGACATCCTATCTTAGAAAGTCATTGTATACATGAATCGAAAATAAAGCATCAAACTCCTCATATGTATGCAAATAGAATTCTTCTTCTTGGCATATCTATTTCATCAGTTTGATAAAGGGAAATATTTAGACCTTAAATCAGAAGTTTAACATCCCTAATCCATGAAAAAACTGTCTCCATGAGTTATCTGGTCCCGAAAGTCAACAGCATTGAAATGAGGAACCCTCTTCTAGAAGACTGAGGCAAAGGTTTAATCCTAGTCTTATAGAAGTGAGACTATCCTGCAGTTAATGAAGACAGAGAACCAGGGAAGGGAGAACAAGGCCTCACTAATAGATACTGCAGGTCAAGCTGGGACATGTTCGTAGTAAAGGGAGCATGGTCACTTTTTAGAACTGAGCAACAAGTCAGAGCTGAACCTGCCCCAAGACTGACCTTATCCTAAACCTCTGACGTTGCTGATCCAGGTCTTTTTAAATCATCCCCATAGGAAGAAAAAGAGAAATGATTTTGATTGTTTCTTAAAGACCTGAAATTGTGTGGGCTTTTACACAGTGGAAATTTTATCTTATTTAATTCTACCATTCCTATGAGAGACATGCTTATTTTCTTGTTGTAGGAAACATAGTTTTTTTTATACAATTACCCATTTATTTTTCAGTCCCTCATGAGTTTGTGAAATTCTTAAAGGTAATGTTGGATCTTTCATGTCAGGTTTCTTAGTGTGGTGACTACCATGTATGAGGTGCTTGATAAATATGGATGGATAAAATAATGGAGAATATGAAATTTCATCCAACTTTTTCATGTTAGCTTCAAATCTGATTCTGAAGCCCTTGTTTTTTTTTTTTTTTGTTTTTTTTTTGTTTTTTTTTTTTTGTTTGTTTTTTTTGACAGGCAGAGTGGACAGTGAGAGAGAGAGAGACAGAGAGAAAGGTCGTCCTTTTTGCCGTTGGTTCACCCTCCAATGGCCGCCGTGGCCGTCGCGCTGTGGCCTGTGCACTGTGCTGATCCGAAGCCAGGAGCCAGGTGCTTCTGGTCTCCCATGCAGGTGCAGGGCCCAAGAACTTGGGCCATCCTCCACTGCACTCCCAGGCCACAGCAGAGAGCTGGCCTGGAAGAGGGGCAACTGGGACAGAATCTGGCGCCCCGACCAGGACTAGAACCTGGAGTGCCGGCGCCACAGGTGGAGGATTAATGTATTGAGCCACTGCACTGGCCCTGAAGCCCTTGTTGAACAGATTTTTATGTTGTAACAATTTAAGATTTATAGAAAAGTTGCAAAAATAGATATGAAGTTCCTGTACAGCTTTCACCTAGTTTCCTCTGTTCCAAATATCTAACATAAGATTGGTAAATTTGTTAAAACCAAGAAATTAACATTCATATATTGTTATGATTAAATACACTTTTAACACAATTTTCGTATCTGATTAATTCGTTTACTAATGTCCTTTTTCCTGACACTGAGTCCAATCCAGGTTCCCACACTGCATTAAGAACCCTTGCATTTACTTATAAAATATCCTAGAAGAGGTGGGATGCAGGGATACAGCTGTGGGTGATGAACGGTTATCTCTTGGAAAAGCAGGGCCAGATCTACAATTCCATTTGTTGTTGGAGGATCTCATCATTCTCTTTTTGACCAAAACAATCTAGCACATTATCTTCAACTTGCTGGAAAATTTTTCAAAATTATAGGTTTCAAAAGAAAATAGGAAAATAGTTGTAAATAAAATCACTTTTAATTCTCCATGTAAATACTGAAGATATTTTAAATATTCATAATTGATTATTTTCAGTAATTTGTTAACACGCACACAAGTAAAATCTTGAACAATTTAAAACTCTCCATGATAACTAGATTAAATATAAAACATAACAAATAATTAATAGTGAGGCATTGCCTTGACTGAGATTCTACTCCAGAACATAAGGTTCAGTTTTGCTGATTCACACTTACTTTGGTATCCATTGTGCCAGAGTTCTATGGGGCAGGGTTTGCAGCCCTCTCATCTATGTAACTATGTTCTGTGTGCTGTTGGTGATGCATATCACCAAATAGTTTGATGTTTATCCTTCTGTGAATATTTCTACACCATCCACCAGTGCTTCCTCAATCAATGAGAAATTGAGACACCTCGGAATCCTGTTGTCTGAACTTAAGGAGATGTGCATGGTCTTTTGTTCTGTTTGTCCAGGTGTTTGCAAGGGTTCTACTTCTAGTGCCTCATCTATAAAAAGGCAACAGAAAAGCAGAAGGTGTAGGCTTGACTACTTTTGAGTTTTAAGCACAATTACTGAAGTTCAGTGAAATTGAAACTTCAAATGTATAACTCCCTCCATTTTTTAATGATATGTGAATGAAGAAATTTTTGATGATTTAATGCTGATTTAGTATCTTTTAATTAAAAGGAGACAAATCCTTTTAAGTCACATGCCTATATTATCTATTAAAAGAATAGTTTTAAACAATAATGTATAGATAAGGTTCAGTCATAAAGCTATAGCAACTGGATCCAAAATCCTCTCTCCGCAGAGGCAGCTCAAACCTATTCTTAGTTCTTGCTCCCTCCATTTTTGGTGAGAGAAATATCATTACAGTTAACATCTATATACACTTTTAAAAAAAATGAAACAAAACAATAGGGACAAGGGCTGAAGTTGTGACCTACCTCACAAAGGATGCATGACTAACGATTGGCAATAGCTATAGCCCAATTATTTAAATTGCATTGCATTGTTGCTCCTTTTCTACCACCAAGTCTTCTGTTGTACTCAGTATACCTACATGGAGTTAATAAAAGTTTCTCATCCATATGCCTAGGTATTAGTTGTTAACCTTTCTCTACCTCAGTTTCCATATTGAAAAAGTGAGAATAGTTTTATGTACTTAACTGTTGAAATCTTTACTTAATATATGCTAAACTGATCTTCTGTATATAAAGAGAATTGAAAATGAATCTTGATGTGAATGGAAGGGGAGAGGGAGTGGGAAAAGGGAGGGTTGCGGGTGGGAGGGAAGTTGTGTTGGGGGGAAGCCATTGTAATCCATAAGCTGTACTTTGGAAATTTATATTCATTAAATAAAGTTAAAAAAAAAGGAGTGAATCAGGCACATTCAAAAAAAAAAAGAAATCTATGGCAAAATAAGAATAAAGATATGAGAAAAACAGAAAAAAAATAGTTTTATGTACTTCATAGAATTTTTGTGAAAATTATATATAAAATAATTAGAATATATATATACATATATATATTTAGAATTAGAACAGAACTCTACACATAGTAATGACTGTTATATTAGAATTAGGTGTTATTAATTCACTTCATATTAACTAATATTAATTCATTTATATTCATGTTATTAACAGTGATACCAAGGACAGATCCACTGACTCATTAATGCTAATTACCTTTTTAAATCAACCTACTAGTTTATTTTATTTATAATAATATTTATCTAAAAATCATAATTCACTATTTTTTCCTGATGTAATAGATGTCAGAACAAATGTTATTTTTATGAAAACAAAACAAGGAACCTATTATGGCTAGCATTAAAAGTTTTTAAATAGTTTAAAAACATTAATTCCATTACATCCTATTCAAGCAGTGGATATTGATATCATGTTTCTGGATATCAATTAGGCAGAAGTAAATTGTACACTTAGTTCTTGTTAAGGATTGCTAACAGCATTTTATAGGATTGGCCTTATATTCATTCATGCAATATATTTGTGGACTTGGCTGTGGCCTTTTCACATGGGGTTATAAACACACAGAGAGAAATATTACCTATGAGATGAGCAGCCAGGAACCCATATTTTCTTCATTCTGATCCAGTTCCTGACACAGACTTTTGACAAATACTCAGAATCTTTAAACTAGCTGTATCTGTGGCACAGTGGATCATGCTGCCTCTTGAGACACTCGCGTCCTGTATCAGAGTGCTTGTTCAAGTCTTGTTTGCTCTGCCTCCAATCCAGCTTCCTGCTAATGCATCTCGGAAAACAGAGAATTATGGCCCAAGTGCTTGGGGCCCCTGCCACCCATGTGGGAGACCAGGATGGAGTTGCTGGCTTCCAGCTTCATCCTGGGCCAATCCAATCTGTTGTGGCCATTTGGGGAGTGAACCAGTATATGGAAGGTTTTTCTCCCTTTTCCCTCCTTCTCTCCCTCTCCCTCTCTGTTTCCTCTCTTTGTCTATGTTGAGCTGCTTTTAAATAAATAAATTAATTAATTAAATATTTTTTAAAAACCTACTAGTGGTCCCCATCTCCAAAGTCCATTTTGTTTCCTTGTGTCTCCTCTTCTCCCCTCACATTGTATCATCAGACCATCTAGATTGCTCATAAAATCTGTTCAGGTCTCAGGTGATATTTCTGATTCATATTCTGCTAGTGAAAATCAATAGTATGAAACATAGCACTGGTATTGAATATAAAATTACGTTTTAATTAAGAATATCTTCAGATATCCTCTAATTGGCTGAGAAGAAAGTAGCTGATGACCTGTATTTGTTTGTAGGTGTCCTTCAACTTTTAAATGTGGAAATACAGAACTTTGGAACACCACTGTATTCATCCATTGAATTCAATAATGTATCATCAGGATCATGGATAATGTCTTCTACTGTACATCAAAGTTGTGGTGGGGGAATTCATGCAGCTGCCAGTCATGGAATAATTTTAAAGGACAACATCGTGTTTGGTGCTGCTGGCCATGGTATTGACCTGGAGGGCCAGGCCTATTCTCTTACTAATAACCTTGTGATTTTAGTGACACAGTCAGCATTGTCCACTGTTTGGGTGGCAGGGATCAAAGTGAACCAGGCAAAGGAAATCGACCTCCATGGTAATGTTGTAGCAGGATCAGAGAGACTTGGCTTTCATATAAGAGGCCACAGGTGCTCCTCTCCTGAAGTGCTTTGGTCTGACAATGTGGCCCACTCAAACCTTCATGGCCTTCATCTCTATAAAGAAATTGGACTTGACAATTGCACCAGTATCTCTGGATTTCTGGCTTTCAAGAACTTTGACTATGGTGCTATGCTACATGTAGAAAACAGCATGGAGATAGAGAATATTACTCTGGTAGACAATGCTATTGGTCTATTTGTTGTGGTGTATGTGTCTTTTGTTCCACAGAGCTCCCGCCAAGATGTGCAGATTGTGCTTAGAGATTCAGATATTGTGGCCACTAGCTCCTCTTTTGATTGCATTCAGGACAGAGTAAAGCCTCAGACAGCCAACATGACATTCAGAGACCGAGCTCCTTCCAATCCAAGAGGGGGCCGAGTTGGTATCTTGTGGCCTGCATTCACCTCACAACCAAACCAGTGGCCCCAGGAGCCATGGCACAAAGTGAGGAATGGCTATTCAATTTCAGGAATCATGAAACTTCAAGGTAGGATGTTTTGGTTTATCTAAGTGACAGTTTCAGCCATTCCTGAGTAGACTTTTAATAGCATTCTGAAATTACATCAACAAAAATATTCATTATGGTCTAGTTCTTGCTGTCTTATTGACAACCTGCAGGGAATTGATAACCACAATGCTAGTTTATAATGACAGTGAGTGATTCTTTAGAAAAGTGACTGCTTTTTACATATATCATGAAGAGCTTTCACAGCAATTATTTAACTTGATTATATGACAGGTATTATTTTTCCTATTACAGACAAATGAAGACATTAAGATACAGAAATTATGCCTTATTTGTGGTCCTTAGTAGTCAGTTTTACAACTAAGACTTAAATAAAAGTTACACAATGACAAGTGCAGCTCATTGTCTGTAAGATCTCTTTCAGATCATTGCATTCACTCCTATTCACTTAGTCTATTGGGCACGAAGTTTGTCTTTCTGTGAATGAATTTTGATCAAGCCATCAGTGGCAAGTTTTGCTCTTAAGACTTTAATGTGTTGGAATGTCCTTATTTTTTACATCTGACTCCCATATCTTGAAGAATGACAGATATTTTATATCAACATTTGTATAAAATTCAGAAACTGTCCTATATAGCTTAAACTACCTCCTAGACATGCACTGTATTATAATAATATTTAATTGTGTAATTTATAAGTGTGGTTGATGGTTTACATGATCTAATGTTATTATTATTTTTTTTAAATTCCAGATGTGACCTTTTCTAGTTTTGGGAAGAGCTGCTATAGTGATGACCTGGATATTTGTATTCTACCAAATGTACAGAACACAGGAATAATGCACCCAATAACAGCAGAGAGGACCAGAATGCTAAATATGAAAGATAAAAATAAGTTCTACTTTCCTCCATTACACCTCAGGTACTTTTAGAATTTATAATAAGCCAAATTTATGAAGTATTTGGAAGCTCTTCAAATTCTGAAACATGTTTATAATTTAAAAATCACTGGTAACTCAGATTCTAATTATTCAGCCTTCTTTGGAGTGTCTGGAATCTTCAGGAAGCCATGGGAGCTTTTGTGCAGGGATGAGTAGATACAAGGAGAATGATATGATGCCAAGAATTCCTGCACTATGTGGTGGGGCTTCCATAGGCTCAGACCAGGTGTAGCTATGGTTCATAGAAATATGATCTGGCAGGATTATTTAAAGATCTGAAAATTTTCGCTGGAAAATGTGGAAAGTGAGCTGGTGTTCTGGCACAATGGGTTAGGCTACCACCTGTGATGTTGGCATCCCATAGGCCTGCCAGTTCAAGTTCTAGGTGCTCCACTCCTAATCCAGTTCCCTGTTGATGTTCCTGGGTAGACAGCTGAAGACAACCCGAGTCCTTGTTCCCCTGCACCTATGTGAGAGACATGGATGGAGTTCCAGGCTTCTGGCTTTGGTCTGGCCCAGTGCTGGTCATTGTGACTATTTGGGGAGGGAACCAGTCGATGGAAAATTTCCCTGTCTGTTGGTCTCTCTCTCTTTCTCTCTAACTCTGACTTTCAAATAAATAAATAAAAATTCAAAAAAATGTGGATAATTAAAGTTGGTAGGAATATAAACTAGTACAGCCAATATGGAAGACAGTATGGAGATATCTCAGAAAGCTGAAAATAGATATACCATATGACCCAGCAATATCACTCCTGGGAATTTTTCCAAGAGAAATGAAGTCAGCATATGAAAGAGTTATCTATATCCCCATGTTTATTGCAGCTCTATTAACAATAGCTAAGATATAGAATAAACTCAAATGTCCATCAACTGACTAGATAAAATATATATATATATATACACACTATAGAATACTACTCAGTCTTCAAAAAAGAATGAAATCCTGTCTTTTGCAACAAAATAGATGCAACTGAAAACCATTATATTTAGTGAAATAAGCTACTCCCAAAAACACAAATACCATTATACTTAGTGAAATAAGCCACTCCCCAAAACACAAAAATGTTTTCCTGATCTGTGGTGATGAATAGCGTACAAAGAAAAGTATAATGTGTATGAGCAAATGTGTATGATATTTTGAGATTCGATTTTTTTTTACAATTCTTGTCTTGACTTTTGAGTAACAGTGTTTTTATCCTTCTTACTATCTGTTGAACTCTTTACTTAGTGCAGGTTTAATCTTATGAGTATAAAGTAGATCATTGTAAAAATTAAGAGAGGGAATAAGAGAAGAAGGAGGAGGAGTGTGGGTGGGAGGGTAGGTAGGGTAGGAAGTATCACTATGTTCCTCAATCTGTATATATGAAATACATGAAATTTGTGTATCTTAAGTAAATTAATTAATTAATTATGGGAAAGTTGGGAGCAGGGAGAATAGGCTTCTCACTTGTAACATGGGGGAAACTCTTGATTAGAGGGGAAAAAATATCTAAAGAAATCACCCTAATTGCAGAATTCAAGTTTTTTTTTTTTCTTTTTTTTCAAACTTTTATTTAATGAATATAAATTTCCAAAGTACAGCTTATGGATTACAATGGCTTCCCCCCCATAAAATCCCTCCCACCCGCAACCCTCCCCTTTCCCCCTCCCTCTCCCCTTCCATTCACATCAAGATTCATTTTCATTTCTGTTTATATACAGAAGATCAGTTTAGCATACATTAAGTAAAGATTTCAACAGTTTGCTCCCACACAGAAACATAAAGTGAAAAATACTCTTTGAGTACTAGTTATAGCATTAAATCTCAATGTACAGCACACTAAGGACAAAGATCCTACATGAGGAATAAGTTATTTTTGAAATGAAGCCGATAGTTTAAGAAAGAATTGTAGATGATTTTGATATTTGATTTAGTTATACAGTGGTGGTATTTCTCAACCTGTATATAATCTGGTTTCATAATTTTTCCTACTGGTGCTTTTCATCAGTAGTTGTTTTTTTTTTTTTTTTTTTTTTTTTTTTTTAACTTTTATTTAATGAATATACGTTTCCAAAGTACGAATAATGGATTACTATGGCTTCCCCCCCATACCGTCCCTCCCACCCACAACCCTCCCCTTTCCCACTCCCTCTCCACTTCCATTCACATCAAGATTCATTTTCAATTATCTTAATATACAGAAGATCAGCTTAGTATACATTAAGTAAGGATTTCAACAGTTTGCTCCCACACAGAAACATAAAGTGAAAAATAATAGATGATTTTTTTTTAATGATGATGAAATCAGATCAGACCTATTGTCATGTTTAATCCCAGTGAGAGTCAAGTTGGGAGTTGATAGTTTCTTTTCTTTTCTTTCTTTTCTTTTTTTTTTTTTTTCACAGAGGATCAGTTTAGTATGCATTAAGTAAAGATTTCAACAGTTTGCACCCCCATAGAAACACAAAGTGAAATATATTGTTTGAGTACTCGTTATAGCATTAAATCTCAATGCACAGCACATTAAGGACAGAGATCCTACATGAGGAGTAAGTGCACAGTGACTCCTGTTGTTGACTTTACCAATTGACACTCCTGTCTATGGCATCAGTAATCTCCCTATGCTCCAGTCATGAGTTTCCAAGGCTATGGAAGCCCTCTGAGTTCTCCGACTCTTATCTTGTTTAGACAAGGTCATAGTCAAAGTGGAGGTTCTCTCCTCCCTTCAGAGAAAGGTACCTCCTTCTTTGAAGACCTGTTCTTTCCATTGAGATCTCACTCACAGAGATCTTTTGCCAGAGTGTCTTGGCTTTCCATTCCTGAAATACTCTCATGGGCTTTTCAGCCATATCTGAATGCCTTTAGGGCTGATTCTGAGGCCAGAGTGCTATTTAGGACATCTGCCATTCTATGAGTCTGCTGAGTATCTCACTTCCCATGTTGGATCACTCTCCCCTTTATTTATTCTATCGGTTAGTGTTAGCAGGTACTAGACTTGCTTATGTGCTCCCTTTGACTCTTAGTCCTTTCATTATGATCAATTGTGAACTGAAATTGATCACTTGGACTAGTGAGATGGCATTGGTACATGCCACCTTGATGGGATTAAATTGGAGTCCCCTGGTATGTTTCTGACTCTACCATTTGGGGCAAGTCAGCTTGAGCATGTCCTAAATTATATATCTCTTCCCTCTCTTATTCCTACTCTTATGTTTAACAGGGATCACATTTCAGTTAAATTTCAACACTTAAGAATAACTGTGTATTAATTACAGAATTAAACCAGTCATATTAAGTAGAACAGACAAAAAAACTACTAAGAGGGATAATGTATTAAGTTGTCCATTAACAGTCAGGGCTATGCTGATCAAGTCACCGTTTCCCATAGTGTCCATTCCACTTCAACAGGTTTCCTTTTTGGTGTTCAGTCAGTTGTCACCGATCAGGGAGAACATATGGTATTTGTCCCTTTGGGACTGGCTTATTTCACTCAGCATGATGTGTTCCAGATTCCTCCATTTTGTTGCAAATGACTGGATTTCGTTGTTTCTTACTGCGGTATAGTATTCTAAAGAGTACATATCCCATAATTTCTTTATCCAGTCTACCGTTGATGGGCATTTAGGTTGGTTCCAGGTCTTAGCTATTGTGAATTGAGCTGCAATAAACATTAGGGTGCAGACCGCTTTTTTGTTTGCCAATTTAAATTCCTTTGGGTAAATTCCAAGGAGTGGGATGGCTGGGTCGAACGGTAGGGTTATCTTCAGGTTTCTGAGGAATCTCCAGACTGACTTCCATAGTGGCTTGACCAGTTTGCATTCCCACCAACAGTGGGTTAGTGTCCCTTTTTCCCCACATCCTCGCCAGCATCTGTTGTTGGTAGATTTCTGCATGTGAGCCATTCTAACCGGGGTGAGGTGAAACCTCATTGTGGTTTTGATTTGCATTTCTCTGATTGCTAATGACCTTGAACATTTTTTCATGTGCCTGTTGGCCATTTGGATTTCCTCTTTTGAAAAATGTCTATTGAGGTCCTTGGCCCATCTCTTAAGTGGGTTGTTGGTTTTGTTTTTGTGGAGTTTCTTGATCTCTTTGTAGATTCTGGTTATTAACCCTTTATCTGTTGCATAGTTTGCAAATATTTTTTCCCATTCTGTCAGTTGCCTCTTCACTCTCCTGACTGTTTCTTTTGCAGTACAGAAACTTCTCAATTTGATGCAATCCCAATAGTTAATTTTGGCTTTGACTGCCTGTGCCTCCCGGGTCTTTTCCAGAAACTCTTTGCCTGTGCCAATATCTTGAAGGGTTTCTCCAATGTTCTCTAGTAACTTGATGGTGTCAGGTCGTAGATTTAGGTCTTTAATCCATGTTGAGTGGACTTTTGTGTAAGGTGTAAGGTAGGGGTCTTGCTTCATGATTCTGCACGTGGAAATCCAATTTTCCCAGCACCATTTATTGAATAGACTGTCCTTGCTCCAGGAATTAGTTTTAGATCCTTGATCAAATATAAGTTGGCTGTAGATGTTTGGGTTGATTTCTGGTATTTCAATTCTGTTCCATTGGTCTATCCATCTGTTTCTGTACCAGTACCATGCTGTTTTGATTACAACTGCCCTGTAGTATGTCCTGAAATCTGGTATTGTGATGCCTCCGGCTTTGTTTTTGTTGTACAAGATTGCTTTAGCTATTCGAGGTCTCTTGTGCCTCCATATAAATTTCAGCACCAATTTTTCCAGATCTGAGAAGAAGGTCTTCGGTATCTTGATTGGTATTGCATTGAATCTATAAATTGCTTTTGGGAGAATGGACATTTTGATGATATTGATTCTTCCAATCCATGAGCATGGAAGATTTTTCCATTTCTTGGTATCCTCTTCTATTTCTTTCTTTAAGGTTTTGTAATTTTCATCGTAGAGATCTTTAACGTCCTTGGTTAAGTTTATTCCAAGGTATTTGATTGTTTTTGTAGCTATTGTGAATGGGATTGATCTTAGCAGT